TTCAATTGATGATGAAATTGCTGTTGAGTTTGAAAAAGACATAGATCTTCGTGAGAATTTGAATAAAATTGAAGTAGACTTGTATCTCTTGGAGACATTGGAGAAGAAAAGCAATCCTAATTTTGAAATTTTGAATTGGTGGAAAGTGAACTCTACCAAATATCCCATTCTTGGTCAATTAGCTAGAGATGTTTTGGCCATACCTTTGTCTACTGTTGCTTCAGAGTCTGCTTTTAGCACAGGAGATAGAGTGCTTAACTGTTATAGGAGCTCTCTTACACCAAAGACCGTTGAGGCTTTGATTTGCACCTAAAATTAGTGTCGATCCTCCCCAATATCAACTGATGTTAAAGAGCTCGTGGAGGATTTAAAAAAGCTTGAGCTAGGTATTTTCATTGTACCTCATAGTAGTGTATTTGTTTTTGACTTAATTTTGAGTCATACTAATTGGTTATATTTTAAATATTTGAAGACCTTGCCCCAATCCAACAACTATATGAAGAGTAATCTGATGCAGATTCTGATTAGTTGTTGATTTAGTATCATATTTTTAATTTGTTGTTTTTCTTAATAATAATTATATTGATTATTTTTTTAATTGGATGTCTTTCTTTAAACATGCAGTGGACTTTTGATCATGTTGTTTGGAGCTGTTTGGGATCATGTTGCTGTTTGGAGATACTGTTTGGAGTTATTGTTTGGAGTTGTTTTTGGATCATGTTGTTTTGAATGTGCTAGCAGTATTGTTGTTTTGGAATCTGTTGGAGACTATTGTATTTTTTTATCTAAACTGTGATTTGTTGCAACATGGATGTTTGTGGCTTGGGTTGCTATTCTGGATTGCTTTGAATTTAAACAATTGTACAACTTTTAGTAGTTTCTATGAAGTTATAACTAGAATAATTTCAAGACTTATTGACTTAATTTGAGTGCACTTTATATTGTGCTAATTCTAATTTTTAGAATGTGGTTTCTCTGTCTTTATAGGGTGCCTTCATTTTGTCTTTAGCTTTGGGTTGTTTCTTTGTCTTTTGTGTATTTGTCTTTTGTGTATTTGGTTGACAAAGAATGACATATGGACAGATCAAATGGAAGGCACACTGTGCTTCAATGCTTTGATATTTTGTCCCCCACCACTGTCCAGGAAGCAATATTTCGAGTGATTGTTGCAATTTTACATCTTGGCAATATTGAATTTACAAAAGGAAAAGAAATGGACTCATCTATGCCCAAAGATGAAAAATCTTGGTTCCATCTACAAACTACTGCTGAACTATTAATGTGAGCAAACTTCACAAGCTTGCATTTGTTAAAATATATACTCTTTGTAAGCTTCACAAGCTTGCATTTGTTAAAATATATATTCTCTTTGCTTTTGTTATACATATGTTATTTTTATGGAAAAAAATTCAAGAATTGTTTTTGAAAAATTATAATCCAAAAACCGCACAAATCCAAACCGAATCAAGCCGTACTTAATTGGATCGGATCGATTTTTTTTAAAACATCCAAACCTCAAACATTTATATTTTCGGATTGAATAAAATTTTAGTAAAAAACCGATCCAAACCGACCACGAACACCCTTATAATGGAGGATATATATTTTTTATGTCGGGTTAAGTCTAATGAATAATATAAATTTTTTTTGTTAGGTAGGATTGGCCGAAACCGACCTATTTCCATCCCTAATAGTAGAATATCAAACACATTATTGCCACGCTTAGAATAAAAAATATTAGTTAAGTTTCAGAGCTGCAACAAAGTCGTACACTGCGGACTGTAGTTTAATTATTTGATGTTAGTTATTGTCATGTACGTTACACACATACATATTGGAAAACGTAAGTTTAGTTATTTAATTATTGTAACAAAATTTTAATTTATTCCATACAGTGTAATAAATGTTGGAGTTTTGTGTCATAAGTGTACTAATTTGAGATACTTACTGTAATCTATTCAAACGTATTGAAATAATTAAGATTTTCATATGTTAGTCATTTTTTATTTTTTATATACTATCTTTAAATTTTATATTATATATAAAATGATTGAGTGAAAGTAAATATCGATTCATTATACGTAAAATAATATTGACACATTAATTACAATGTGATTTAAACTAACTATGAATTGTATCATAATGGTCATTATAATAGATGAGATAACTTATATTATTTGATAATTTAAAATAAAGTTTATGGCGTTCATACAAAGTTCTTTTGGCTGATAAAAGATGACGTGTTATTCGATTCTTGTACCCTTGGACTTTTCTTTTTTAATCTTTACGTCACAATTTTCTTTCAAAACAAAATAATTCAAATCTTTTGAGCAAAATTAAGAAATTTGATGTCTCCTAAACGCAGCAACAAGCTCTTTAATATTAGTTCACGAAATCTGGATAATAGTTTTTTCAGTGGACATTATACGAAATAAATAAATTTACGAATGAAATCACTAAGCTTATGGACTATCAACATTCCAATTCAATTGTGTTTGAATTCACGGAAATTCTAAAATATAATTTGTTAATATAAGATTAAATATGATAAAAATCAGTTGTAACAATTTTTTTTATCAAGAGCCTAACTTTTTAGGTTATGCATAATAACATTTTCAGTTACAACCGAAAGCATTACATTCTTCGTAATATTTTCAGTTATAAAGCTCTAAACACTTCACAATGCAACTTTTCGGTTGCAACTGAAAATTTTGCAAATTTATATAACTTTTTAAGTAGGTTGAAACCGTTTTAAATTATACTTAAATTAAATTGTGGTACAACAAAACAACCATTGAATTCACTCCAATGGCAGTCAAAGAATTGATCAAAAGAGACTTCCATAATCCCTTGTACTTAAAGCTCTAGATATATTCTATTAATTATCTTTCAATTAGAAAATAATATCTCATCTCATTAAATTAATTAATTTATTAATATCTCATCTCATTAAATAGATTAATTTTGAGAAAAAATTCTTTAAAAGAGTAAAAATTCGACTTTTATATGGTTTCATTGATTATATTGATTTATTCTAACGGATTAAGAAATATATTTTATTTAAACAACCTGTTCTGCAAATAATATTTTTATTTATGTTTAATTATAATTATTAACATTTTTTGAATAGTCTAAGATAATTATAAGGTAGCACTTGTTCACAATTTTTCTTAACTAATCGATACCTTCAATTTAGATCTAATAATCTCAAACACAGGCTTTGAACTTCAAACAAAATCATTGAATAAGGATGCATTTTAGAATTTTGGGACATTGGTTCGTATTTGGCACAATGCCCTAATTTGGTACAATATTTAGGATGCTTTACGTTTGGTACAAGTTACTTTCTTTTACTTATAAAAGATGCATGTACGAAAAACAAAGCACGCAATGAAAGATGCCCAAAAGACTTAAAAGTCAGTGTATTAAAAAGATTTAGGATAGCTTAATTATTTAGCCATTCAACTACTATCATAGTTCCATTTTGGTCATTCAACTTTTTTTTATATTAAAAATTATGTTTTGATTACCCATTGCTAAAAATATAGAATTGTTAATGTAATATTCTTTTAATTTATTTTCAATAATCATATGCTATTATTTTATGGTTTGATACGCTAGCATCATCGTTAATGTTTTGACTATTAATGACCAAAACGGAATCAAAACGTAACTTTAGGTATAATTTTTTAAAAAATAATTAGATGACTAAAATAGAATCACAAAAATAATTAGATGACTAAGTACATAGTTTACCCAAATATTTAAAAGTCAATAAAAGTGAACAAATGGTATGCGCGCATTATCTATGGTTACTGTTTTCAAGTTTTGACCACCGCTTCAAAAACTACAATTTTCTCTTCAACCTTCCATTTGTATCATTTTACTGTTCAATTATTCTATTAAAAAAATGCTGTTCAATTATTAAGTGTCCGGATAGATCTAAAACACTATTCCACCATTGTATATAGCAATCGAATCTAATTTAATTTAAATCACTATTGAATTATTATTATTATTTAAATTTAATGACATAATATATAAATAATTATATATTTTATCAATATATCTATTTAAAATAATATAATTTCATATAAATATTTTTAATAATCTAACAGTTATTGTATTTAATAATATAACTATAGTTATTGCGTAATGAAATTTTAAAACAACTATTCAGTGACGAGTAAATATTTTTTCATAACTTATGTAAATAAATTATAAAACATGAGTGTAAATTATTAAAATATTAATTATATATAAATTGCTAAGGATGTAAAAATAATATTCGCTATTTCCTATTAAAAATATATATTCGGCTATTTCCAGTATTTTTAAGATTTTAATTAATAAGAGTATTTAAAGGACACCTCATAATTCTGAGATCTCTCCAATAGAAAACTGCCAAATAAGAAAAAAAGGTTTTCAGATTTGCCAGCTGTCAAATCTATCTGTTATGTAATACATTTGATCTCATATAGCTAAAATGGGTCTAATTTTAGTTTTAGTCCTTCTGTTATACTAAATTATGACTTAACCTTTACTTTAATTTAACATAATTTGATATTCTATTTTAATAATTCAAATTTATAACACTATTTTTTCAGCCATTATGACGATGTGTAATTTTAAATATTAAATTGATATATAAAATTATTATTGGTTAAATATAATTAACTATATTTTTATAAATTTTGAATGTATAATTAGATAACATTATATCAGTAAAAGAATTCAGATCATCACTGTAGCAATATTATAAATCTGAACCTACTTATAACATTTGTAAAAATAAAAGAATAAAATTATACTAAAGTAAAAAGAGAGACTAAATTTTAATTTTCAACATAGTGAAGGGACTCAAACTGATATTAGACCTAGGATTGTGGTGGGGGAAGTTTCGTTAATCACACAATTTAAAAAAAAGAAATGTAATTAAAAAAAAGAATGATTTTAAAAATAAGAGCCCAACAGGAATAAATAAAATAAAGCAGCGAAGAAGCAATAAAGAGAGAAGCATAGTGGGTACCAACAATAGCACAAAGCCTAGATTACAGTGGGAAACAAAAACTTCCACTTTCTCGTCTATTTTCTGGGTAACCAAACAAACTTTAATCTTCTCCTCCTCAACCTAGGTTTTCTCAAGTTTGATCTTCAGTATTGTAGCAAATCCTAAATATGGGAAAAGGAGGAGAAGTTTATGGGAAAAGAGAATTTGAGGCCTTCAAACAAACAGATCCAGATTTGTTCCTCGCTTGGGCCAAAGATATCCACGAATGCGAGAAGCATTATGGAGTTAGTCGAAAATGGGGATTATCATCGGCAGAAGTCGAAAATCGGCGCAAGATCTACGGTTATAACGAGTTGGAAAAGCACGAAGGGCAGTCGATATGGAGTTTAATCATGGAACAGTTCAACGACACTTTAGTTCGAATCCTATTGCTGGCGGCGGTAATTTCTTTCGTACTCGCTTGGTACGACGGCGATGAAGGCGGCGAAATGGGAATTACCGCCTTCGTTGAGCCGTTGGTGATATTTCTGATATTGATTGTGAACGCGGTCGTCGGTGTTTGGCAAGAAAATAACGCTGAGAAAGCATTGGAAGCTTTGAAAGAGATCCAATCGGAGCAAGCCACTGTGATTCGTGATGGAATCAAAATCCCTAATTTGCCGGCCAAAGAGCTTGTTCCCGGTGATATCGTGGAACTCAAAGTAGGGGATAAAGTCCCTGCCGACATGAGGGTTTTGGAGTTAGTTAGTTCAACTTTGAGAGTCGAGCAAGGTTCATTGACGGGTGAGAGCGAGGCCGTTAATAAAACTAACAAGTTAGTTAGTGAAGATGCTGATATTCAAGGCAAACGGAGCATGGTTTTCGCGGGAACAACGGTGGTTAACGGAAATTGCTTCTGTTTGGTTACGCAAATTGGGATGGAAACAGAGATCGGTAAAGTTCATACTCAGATCCACGTGGCGGCACAAAGCGAAGAAGACACGCCGTTAAAGAAAAAGCTCAATGAGTTCGGAGAGGTTCTGACGATGATAATTGGGGTAATTTGTGCTTTCGTTTGGTTAATTAATGTCAAATATTTTCTCAGTTGGGAGTATATTGATGGTTGGCCTAGAAATTTCAAGTTTTCGTTCGAGAAATGTACATATTATTTTGAAATCGCTGTAGCGTTGGCTGTTGCAGCCATTCCAGAAGGGTTGCCGACAGTTATTACCACTTGTTTAGCACTTGGGACTAGAAAAATGGCTCAAAAGAACGCACTGGTGAGGAAGTTGCCAAGTGTCGAGACATTAGGGTGTACTACTGTCATTTGCTCTGATAAAACAGGTACCTTGACAACCAATCAGATGGCAGTAGCTAAGCTTGTGGCTATGGGGGGTGATGCGAGTAGTTTGCGAAGTTTTAGAGTTGATGGCACAACGTATAATCCTTCTGATGGGAAAATACATGATTGGCCAAGTAATGGAATGGATGCTAATCTTGAAACAATTGCCAAGATTTCTGCTATTTGTAATGATGCTGGTTTAACACATTCTGACAATAAGTTTTTAGCTCATGGAATGCCTACTGAGGCAGCGTTAAAGGTTAGTTACAACCTTCTCTTATTTGAATTTGTAATGCAGTTATAAATTGTGATTATTAAGTTTAAAGCATGATGTCAATATTCAGTGAGGTTTTCATCAATGTAGTTGATATATATATTTGTTGATCTATATCCGCTCTAAAAGTAGGCTTATTGTAACTTTACTTCTTGTTCATCCCTATGCAGGTTCTAGTAGAGAAAATGGGCATTCCAAATGTATCCTATAGTGGTGGAGGAGCTAGCAATGATGATCTACGTATGCTAGATTTTCAAATGTTTTATTGTTTCTTTTCTTAGTTCCTTTCTAGCATTAAGACTTGTAATTTACATATGTTGCTTAATATGGTCTTAAGGTTGTTGCCTGTGGTGGAATGAGTATGAGCATCGTATTGCAACCCTTGAGTTTGATCGTGATAGGAAGTCCATGGGTGTTATTGTCAAGTCCAAATTGGGAAGAAGGTCATTGTTAGTGAAGGTACTATTGCTATCTCACTCATGATTTTCTTACTTGAAAGGCTTAGTTGTTATTTTTTCGGCATTTGATTATCTTGCGAACCACCATCAAATGCTTGTTTTGATCCTATGTGATGTTAATTTTTTTGCTCTTCAACTTGAACAATTGATGGGCATGTAGGGTTTTTGAATGATGTATGATACTTATTGCTGTTTTTTAACATCAACTTGGTATATATTAATTTTTCATACATCTAAACCTTAACTCACATGTTTGTTTATCCTTAATGCTAAATAACTTGAATTACGGGCTCTGGTAGGGAGCTGTAGAGAACTTACTTGAGAGAAGCTCAAAGATGCAATTGCTTGATGGTTCTGTTGTACCACTTGATCAAAATTCAAGGATCCTTGTTGCCAATGCTCTTCAAGATATGTCAAGCGGTGCATTGCGCTGCCTGGGTTTTGCATACAAAGATGAGCTCCCTGAGTTTGAAAGCTATGACGGCAGTGATGATCATCCAGCACATAGCCTATTACTTGACCCTTCCAACTATTCTTTAATTGAGAGCAATCTCACTTTTGTTGGCTTGGTTGGACTGAGGGTGAGTTGCAAAGTTTCTAATCACTATCTTTGCTTACAATTCTTTGTATTATATGTTTCTTCTGTGAAGTAACTCTGCTAGGTTGTGCCATTAAATGTTTTTAGGACCCTCCCCGTCAAGAGGTCCATCAGGCAATTGAGGACTGTAAAGCAGCTGGTATTCGTGTTATGGTTATCACTGGAGATAACAAAAATACAGCCGAAGCTATATGCCGTGAAATAGGTGTTTTTGGGTCCATGGAAGACATCAGCTCGAAAAGTTTAACGGGGAAGGAGTTTATGGAACTGTTGGATAAGAAAACTCATCTGAGACAAAGTGGTGGCCTTCTATTTTCCAGAGCTGAACCAAGACACAAGCAGGAGATAGTGAGATTGCTAAAGGAAGATGGAGAGGTGGTTGCTATGACTGGTGATGGAGTAAATGATGCGCCTGCTTTGAAACTGGCTGATATTGGGATTGCCATGGGCATTGCTGGAACAGAGGTACTTTTTTCATTTTATTCTTCACTGATTGTGGATTTTCTTTTCAAATGCACCTTTATATAAAGGTTTTTCAGAGAGTTCCGAATGAAACTCTAATTATTTAAAAATAAAAATGAAAAACAAATTGAACTTGAAGATCATTATTGATGGGTGTTTGGAGACCTGTGGTGCTTTCATCCAATTTGTTGGAGAGCTATTAATCATGGTGCTCTGTTCGAGTTTAAGTCCATGCTTTCTTTTTTCTCTTTTCACCATCCCATATTCCCCCCTTTTCCTCAAATCATTTATTTTCTTTCCAACTGCCAGGTTGCCAAGGAAGCTTCTGACATGGTGTTGGCAGATGACAATTTTAGTACAATAGTTGCTGCCGTTGGTGAAGGCAGATCCATTTACAATAACATGAAAGCTTTTATCAGGTTGGTTGTAAATTTTTATCATGCTTTAGACTTTGAAGGTCATGCTTATGGGCTATAATGCCAGGAAATGCATCCTTCCTCACGTTGCTTGAATATTGATTGTTTCCTAAAATCATTTTTGTTTCCGGAGTTCTTTGACGCTAAGACCATTATTTCAGGTACATGATCTCATCAAATATCGGTGAGGTTGCCTCAATATTCCTAACAGCAGCGTTAGGTATACCTGAGGGTCTGATTCCTGTCCAGCTTCTCTGGGTTAATCTTGTTACCGATGGACCACCTGCAACTGCTTTGGGATTCAATCCTCCGGACAAGGACATCATGAAGAAACCTCCTCGGAGAAGTGATGATTCGCTCATCACTGCTTGGATTTTATTCCGCTATCTGGTAACTTGTTAGACCTTTGCTTGATTTTATCAAGTATGTTTTTCTTGTTAGTGGGTTTTAGTTCTTGATCTTACATCATTGTCTGGCACAGGTGATTGGACTATACGTCGGAATAGCAACTGTTGGCGTCTTCATTATCTGGTACACACATGGTTCCTTCTTTGGCATCGACCTTAGCGGTGATGGCCACACCCTTGTCACATACTCTCAGCTCGCCAACTGGGGCCAGTGCTCATCATGGAATAATTTCACCGTTTCATCATTCACAGCTGGGAACCAGGTCTTCTCCTTTGAAAATAATCCCTGCGATTACTTCCAAGGAGGCAAAGTAAAAGCCATGACCCTTTCCCTTTCTGTTTTGGTTGCCATTGAAATGTTCAACTCCCTTAATGCCCTCTCCGAGGATGGAAGCCTCTTGTCGATGCGTCCATGGGTCAACCCTTGGCTCCTCCTTGCCATGTCCGTCTCATTCGGCTTGCACTTCTTGATTGTCTATGTGCCATTCCTGGCTCAAGTATTCGGTATCGTACCATTAAGCTTTAATGAATGGTTGTTGATTCTGGCTGTTTCATTCCCCGTGATTTTGATAGATGAGGTCCTGAAGTTTGTGGGAAGGTTTACAAGTCGGACGGGATCATACAATCAAAGACCGTTGAAGCCTAAATCCGAGTGAGACAGGTTCGTATAAATAATAAGTCGGATTGTTTGGATACCACCTCAAAAAATGATTGATATTCTTGGGAACTCTTACTCCAACATGGTGTTATTACAATGTGAGCTATACTATTGGTTTCATATTTAGCCCCCGCATAATTTCACATGGGGGGATGTTTTGTACCACAAAGAAGTAGCTAAGCAAAACTATTCCCGTATGTCATTTGTTTACTAGGTTTCATTATTAAAACTTGTCAGAAAATGCAAAAAGGGAAAACATTTTTGAATTTGCAATTTTGTGAAATGTGCAATGCAATAGCTTTGGCAACCTGTGGCGTGTAAATTAGATAAGAAAATTCATGAATCACATTCAATTCAAGCGCGATAGAGAACGCAAGGTGTGGAAAACCTCAAACAGTTTAATGTAAGAAAATAACTACAAAAATGAAAGAGAGGAGGAGAAGGCGATTCAGGGTTTGATGACAATTAACCATGAAGAAGAATTAACAAAAGAAGAAATGAGGAAAAGTAAATTAAGAGAAGATATCATCTTAGATAAATGTATCCCGCCTATATTTTAAGCGAATCTAATTTTTTTTTTTTGTCCAAGTCCATTTATTGAATTTTATATTTTTATCCAAATCTTTCTCAATTTCAGGTAGAACTTGGACAACTAACTGGATCCTTTAATAGGGCTAATCACGAGTAATAATTTTCTTTTTCAAACCCTCCGCTTCCCCATTTGATATTTATTGTGCTCTATCGTCGACGATGAGTTGAATTTTGTAAGTTTGAGTTAGACTAGACTCTTTATTTATTTTTGTTGAAAGAGGAGAAGATGGTTTATGATGGTTATTCTCGTGCCTGTTGAATATCTCAATCGAATCCAATGTAACTTCCGCCGATGAAATCAATCCTAAAGAAGTAAAATCATATCAACATCAAATCTACAGAATACAACTTCCGTTTGTTCGTTTGTCAGGATAATTAATTTACCAGGAAAACAGCTTAAGAAAATCCACCAGACCAGAAAACGAAAGAAAGTCTCAAATTGATCCATATTATTTTTCATATGCTTCATTGAATTTGTATATTTTTTAATTAAACAATACAAAGAAACTTAAATTATTTATGTGATCTGAACATATTTCAACATTAGATGTCAAATACATAAATTAAAAATGTAACTCGAAATGTTATAAAAATAAAGAAAATAAGAATAAAAGATATGAAAAATAATCAGTATTATTTTTTCAATAAAATACTTTATATTTATAAACAGAAAATTTTAGAGGTGAGAGATAACTACAATTAATCTTCATTTTCATTGTTGAAGAGAGATGAGAAACAAAGGAGGAGCATCAATTTTAGAGCTCACTTGCTCTTGCACTTAAAAATAAAACATTCAAAATATTAGCCCTTCACCTGCTGTTGCGCTTGACTTGATTTCAGCTACTCACCCTTCTTTGCTAAACTCAAGAGGACCCCGGCACTAAGACTTGTCGCAACAAAACCGAGTGACGCCTCTGTAGATACATGAAATCCTGCATCAATGAATTAAAACATGAACTTCTCTTTTAACTTCTTTTACAAAATAAAAATGAATTTGTATCGACCAATACGGATTCAAGGTACAAACCAAAGAAATCCAAGATCATTTTAAACCCAATGAAACCTAGAACGACGGCAATGGAAGGCTGCCAAAGGAAGGGGAAAATAATCAGAATAAAAGTTGTCGGTACAAATTTGTGCACCATGCTTAATCACATAACAGTAATCTGCAAGATAAGTACAAATTGCCAGCAGAATATTGACACGAGCAAACTTGAACGAGTTGCATGGATAATCTTTCAATTATTTATGATGACTCGTCACATTCTCTTCATGTACAGGTACAAGCTTATATTCAAAGTTCTACACATGGCGTCAAATCTAAGGCATGCATTAGAAGGTAAAGTGGAGAGAGTAAACATTACCTGCAAGTATTCCAGATCTGCCATACCCTCAGCAATGAGTGTGTAGAGTGATCTTAAACCTTGAAGGGACAGCAATATAGTAAATTAATCATCTTGTATGACTGAATGCGCGCGCGCGCATGAGAACGAGATGAAAGAAAAAGAATTACCTAAGATGGCAAAAATATTGGATGAAAAAACTATAAAAGGATCCCGTGTAACACCAAAAACAGCTGGTATTGAATCAACCTAAAGAAAATGAAAATTTGCATCAGTATCCTCATTTCATCATTAACCAGCAAGTCCATATCCTAGGCATGTGTCAGGAATAATGAGAACCTACAGCAAATGCTATATCACTGAGCTCAATAACTGCTACTGTGAGAAGCAAAGGAGTTGCCTGTTTAAAATATTTGACACCTGTTAGAATCAAGAATTCATTCAACTCAGTAAAGGAATTCGAATATGTTTAAGAATAAGAAAAGACTGCTAGTTCACACAAACATGATGTGATAAAGTTAACAAGAACTGAGGATGTGAAACTTGTTATGAATGACTTACTTGCCAAACGTTGTCCCGTTTATTTATAAATTTATTGCCATCATAATTAGCTGCAACAATAAAAGAAAAAGGAATAAAAACCACATCACAAGCATTAAGCAGTGCAAAAAAATTAGCTAAATTCGTTAATAAAAATTGCACCCAGTACATAAGTAGTCAACTTTTAAAGAAAAGACAGAATAAACTACATAAACTTGAATGAAAGTAGAACAGAATGCAATTCGAAGGTAGAATATCACATGTGAAGGGGATAAATCTTTGGCATGTCTTCACTATGAAGTTGTCAGACAGATCAGTGTCATCTTCCTCACTTGAAAATAGCTATCACAAGATAATACAAAATGATGAGCCACTAGAATTTGAACTCAATGGAGCAAACATAACACATGCAAAACTGTCATAAATTTAGCAAATAAGACACCACCACAACAGATTAGATAAATGGCAACTTGATTGTCACAACAGTCGGTAGACATACAGTACCTTGAATGATGAGAATAAGAGTATAGCAGCCAGTAGTAGGTTGACCACCTCAAACCTCTAAAACAACAGGGAGGAGTTCATGAGCCCAGACAAGAAGATTGACAGATGCAAACATAAAAATTGAACAATGATTTACCTGAAGGGTAGCTGTTCCAAGTAGTATCAATGACAAACGAAAGATGATTGCACCAGCAATACCATATGAAAGAACCCGATTCTACATTTTGTACATAAAAAACTTTATATTACAAGTTGTTAACATGGAAAAGCTCACTATGTGTGAGAATATCTTTTCCAGAGATGTTACACTAAAAACTGACAGCCTCAGGCTGTATGGTTATATGGAATGTCTTAAGCAGATAGATAAATGTATGGAACCTGATACATATGTGGCACTTTGAAGTACTTGAAGATCAGAACAAAGACAAACAAATTGTCTACGGACAGACTTTGCTCCAATAGGTACCTGAAAGGAAATCATAACTACAGCAATAGCAGGCAAAAGAGAAAAACCCAAGCTGAAAAGTCTGAAATTCATTTAAAACAGGAAAAAGGGCCATGTATTATCAGTCAGATAGATATAATGAAACAAGGGACTAATAGGTAACTTTCAACACTCATATCAAGATACCCAGCAAAAAATTCTGATGCCTTGCCAGCTCCCTCCTTCAATCCCACACCAACTCCAAAAGCAACCGCAGAGCACACCTAAACATAATGATGAATACCCAAAATGTCCACAAAGGACTATATGAATCCACATTCAATAAAGAATAAACATAAATAATTTTGAGAGAACTTACCCAAAAAGCAACAGTTTTAGCAGATGATGCATAAGCTTTATTTTCCTGAAGTTTCTCCTTGGAATTAGCATAAGAATTCTGCTCATCTGCAGATTTATCCCATAACTCCATCATTTTCTCCAAAAGCGATAAAAAAAGCTTCAATTTAGGAGATTAATATAAATTCCTTAAGTTAATAAAAAGATAAATCACCTTCAGACAATTGATCATCCTGCTCCATTCCCCTGGAGCGAGCAGCCGGGAAGCATATTGCCCGGCAGTTATGGCTTACTGCAAGTTTAATAAAAAATTAAAATGGAAAATAAAAAAAAAAAAAACATGATCAAAATATGCCGTCATCCAGTCATCTATTTGAGATTTATTCGGTACTTACAAAATTAAAAATTAAAGTTTTGCTCGGTTGAGTGAAAAAATGAAAGGGTGAAAGGGATAGTGAAAAGTTAATGGCAAAGACAAATAAAGGGGAATGACAGGGTTGATCATTTCTCAACTCTCATTCCTTAAATCTACCAAGCAATTAATGAAAAGAAAATTTTCATTCATTCCTAACCAGCACACCAATGGAAAGAAAAATAATTCATCTTTCAATTCTTCTAGTTTTAATTTTCCAGCCTTCTTTCCACTCTACAAATTACAGCCTAAATGTTGTTACTTTTTATTTGAAAAATGTTTAATCATCAACACTATTAGTATTTTCTATCCGTTCTTTTATCAATATAGTCAAGAAACTCCATCAGCTTCACAAGCAAATAATTATGAATTCATGAAACACACATTATACTAAGCAAATTTTGACAGAGAAGAATACTTATTGTATCAACAGTTGAACTAATACTTTTTTTAACTTCGTAATTACATTGACTAAATCTCAAACTTTGCCAGAACTGATGGTATATTTTGACTTGAAACAAAAAAAAAAAAGAATACTTCAACGCACGGAGCATAAGAGCATGGGGTGAAAGAGACCTGAATGGAGAACGGAGAGACGAGAATTTGAGAACCGGAGTCCGGCCCATCTGGGAGATTGAACCGCAGTCGAAACTGATGAAAGTCTGAGATCGAAATTGAGGGCGATGCAAATGGCACCGCCATGGGGAACGACTGAAGCTAATCCCATGGAAGTTTGAGCTATGAGCTCCGGTGAGAATATTCTTGTCGGCAGTTTTGATATGTGAGGGAAGGAAGGTAAAGAGACAAAGAGAACGGCCCAAATAAATCTTATCCACTGAAATTGAATCAGTATCGTTTTATTTTCCCCAAGGAATTAACTGTGTTCAGCTCTTTGTGGTTAAGGAAGTGACCAGTGATAGCACTTCTTAGCATGCTTTTCAGAACCGTACCGATTAGTGAATCGGTCATGCTATCGATTCATTTGTTCAACTAGAAGAACCGGTCTGATAGGTCGAAAGAATCAGACGATGTAATAATTATTTAAAAAATTAAATAAATATCAAAAATATTTAATAAAAAATAATTTTTTATATTACAAGTCATATTCAAAGCAAGTCATAACATATATAAGTTAAAAATCATAAAATCAAGTGAAACAAAATGATTCAAATTAACTACAACATAATATTTAAGGTAAAACATATTAAATAATAAATATAATTATATAACTATAATTAAAAAATAAATTTGGGGTTAAAAAATCATAACAAAATGATATTGTTTGGTTTATTTTTTTTAAAACAATCTTACATGACTAAGAAACATAGAAGAGCATCCCAAAAGTCTAAAGAGTAAAAACATGAGAACAAAACAATCCCACATTGCTAAGAAACATAGAAGAGCATCACAACTAACTTCTATAAATAATAGAGGTAATTTGACATTTAAAATCATGGAGCCTTTTGGTGAGCATTGAGTGAACTATTCTTTCACTTCAATCAAGCTCGAATTTTAGGCTTCAATCGAGCTTCTAAATTTTTTTTTTATTTCAAGCCTTTTTGAGTTCAAGTTTCAATATTATATTTCGAGTTTGAGTTGAACTTGATAATTTTTAGCTTGTGAGTTTGAGTAGAGTTGAGCTTACTTTTAAAGTTTTCAAGTTCGAGTCGAGCTCAGCAATACTCGAGTTCGACTTGGCTCGTTTAACAAATGACGTTGTTTGGTTTAATTTTTTTTAAAAAAAACAAAATTTTTCGGTTTTTTTCGGTTTTCAGCCGGTCCGGTTCGAACGGTTTAGCGGTTCTGACCGGTTCACTAGTAGCGATTCAACCAGTTTAGATTGAACCGGACTAGCACACGGTTCCCGGTTGAACCGGTCGGTCAGGTCCGATTTTCAAAACAATGCTTCTTAGAGTCAAAACCCGACTCTAAAAAATATATTTTTTAATACTGAGTTAACTTAATTTTTTAATTTAAATTTTGATTTTGAATAATTTGATTTAAATTTATAAAATTAGATAATTAAAGATTGAAAAAATATTTTATTTTATTTGTAATAAATAATTTAATTATTTTATGATTTTATTTGTAATTTTTTAATTAACTTTCGTTTTAAGTTTATTTTGACAAATTTATACCAATATTCATCTATAATCATAAAAGACATATAATTTTTATTTTTGATAAAAACATTCAAAATTTTTTAATTTGATCTGTTATTTTTATATATTTTTAATTTAATTTTTGTATTGTATATCTTTAAATTTTTATTCTCGTTAATTCTTAACTCTTTTATACTCCCATCAATTATTTTTCCTTGAAATTTAAATTAACTTCTACAAGAGCCTCTATCTTCCAAAGTGAGCTTAGGCGACCTGAGATTGCTTCAAGGAATACTAGTTGGAGAAATCAAAACACCTCGACTGAACGAGGATTATTGTCTTCTATTTGAGTGAAAGTATCGAGATATTTTAATCAACATAAAGATAATTCTATCCAATGATCGAATTATTTTAAAAAGATAAATGAATTGTTATATTTTTTGTTATAAGTTTCGAATTAAGTATTTATGTCATTTCTTCAACTAAGAGGGTAACTTATTATACATCTGAAGGTTATATTTGGAAATTGTCAATTCTTCGTCAATTGAGACCTCTTAAAAAATTCATTCATTTACCGGAGCTTCCAATGAACTCATATCCTCTGGGCACATGAGTAGCATAGCCTCCTAACTAATTACAGTCTATAGATAAGACAAACTTCTGACAATCCTACATGATCTATCAAAATAAACTTCAAGATCTTACAGTCATATCAATTAACTTGCTAACATACGAGTAGTCATAGTCACTTTACGATTCAATCAGTTAAAATAAAGATAATATCTCTTAGTTACAACTAAAAAGGAATAATTAAATACATTGACACTCGTCTATATTATTGATCTTTTCTACCACACCTTTTTTCTTCTTATTTTTTTCCTCAAAATTCACGGGTTGATGATTGTTCAAATATTGATTATAATTTTCTATCTAAACCAAAAATAGTGAATCATCAATATTAATGTATTATATTTAGTTGCGATCAGCAATTGTGTTTATAATTATACCTATAATTATATTCAAGTTATTTAGGATATTATGAAATCTAAATTTATTCAATTACTTAAATTGTGAAAAATTGATTTACATACATAAATATGATTTAAATTAATTTAAAAATGTTTAAATTTAATATTAATTTAACAATATTTTAATATTAATTTATGAATGCATTAACAGTGAGTTAATAATATTAAATACATTAACTTATTTTATTTACTTTAAATGTTAATTTGTTTATTATTTAATAACTTTAAGGTTTAGTTTTTGATTATGTGTTGTGTTACTTTCTTTTAAAAGATTTAAGTTTAATTCCCTTGGCATTATTATTATCTATTTTTCTATAGATATGTCGTCTTCTTATTAAAAATTAATATTTTTAATAAACAAAATAATTAATAATATTATAAATAATATGAAATTGAGTTACAAAATTTAAAAGTAAATAAAAATAATTTCGAGTTAAATACATTTCCTAAAGAGTAACCTAAAAGAGTAGTATTAGGTTTATTAAGGACAACAATTGTGTTCTTTTAGTGAAAGATCATGATATTAAGAGAATTTGGGGTAGTTATTTCTTTGGCTTATTTAATAACGGTGCATCTCCCTATAGAGATAGTACCGTTGATGGGTCAGTCGACCATCATACTACGACCAATGACTGCACTACAAGTAGGATTTGGTTTGAGGAAGTCAAAATGGCTCTTAGAAAGATGGGGAGGACAAAGCTGTCAGTCCAGATCAAATTCCTATCACTGTGTGGTTAGCCCTAAGAGAAGAGGGAGTTAAATGGTTGACCAACATTTTTAATATTATTTTAGAGACTGCCAAGATGCCAGAGGAGTGGAGAGAGTCTACGGTGATACCAATTTATAAGAATAAAGGAGATCTCCAACGTTGTGGCAACTACATAGGTATTAAACTACTCAACCATACCATGAATCTATGGGAAAGGGTGATAGAGGCTAGGTTGAGACAGGTTACTAGGGTCTCGGAAAACCAATTTGGCTTTATGCCAAGCAGGTCTATTACGGACGCAATTCATCTACTTCGACGGCTTATGGAGAAATATAGAGAAAAAATAGAGATCTTCACATGGCGTTCATTGACCTTGAGAAGGCGTATGATAGCGTTCCCCGCGATACAATCTGGAAGACCTTGGAGACTAGACAGATCCATCTGCTTATATCCGGGCGATTCGAGATATGTACTGTAGATCTACTACATACGTCAGGACTACAGTTGGCGACACCGAGGCATTCCCGGTGGAAATCGGACTCCACCAGGGGTCGACTCTTAGCCCTTACATCTTCTCCTTGATTATGGACGACATCTATTGTGCGACACCAGACGGTGTTCCATGGTGTATGTTTTTCGTTGACGACATTGTCCTAGTTGCTAAAACAAAAACTGAGCTGAATAGTAGACTGGCTACCTGAAAGACTGCATTGGAAGAAAAATGTCTAAGGATCAATATTGAAAAGACATAGTATTTATGTTCAAACTTTAGTGGGAACCAAAACGATGAAGATGTAGAAGTTTACATAGAAGGACACGTTATCCCATCAAAGGATTGTTTCAAGTACCTAGGGTCTATGATACATAAAGATGGGGTGTAGTTTACACACCGTATAAAGGCGGGATGGCTAAAGTGGAGGGTTGCTACTGGAGTTTTGTGTGACAAGAAGGTGCCTCTAAAACTTAAGGGAAAATTTTATAGAATGACAATAAGACCAGCGCTGATGTATGGATCAGAATGTTGGGCAATCAAGAAGGATCACGTAAGGAGGATAGAGGCCGCATAAATGAAAATGCTTCGATGGGCATGTGGTAGGACACTGTGGGACATGACACCAAACTCTACTATTAGGATGTCCTTGGGGGTGATGCTTGTATCCGAAAAATTGAGGGAGGAAAGACTACGGTGGTTTGAGCATGTCATTAGGCGAAAATCGTCGGATGCGGTTAGGAGGGTTGAGTCGATTACAGTCGATAGTGCCAGAAGGAGAGGACGACCAAGGCGGAAATGGAAAGACTGCTTGAGATTTGATTTGAAAGATTTAGCCCTTACCGAGGACATGACCTCTGATAGGAAATTATGGAGACTTAAGACCAGGATAGCCGAGTAGTGCGGGTCACCCATAGCGTGTATCATCTGTCTCTTTTAATGCCTTTGTAGTAATTTCCATGACTTATACTTTTTATTCGTTTCTATCATTAGAATTTATGAAAGCTTTGAACTAGGTAGAGGAGTAGTTTTGCATTAGTTTAAGATTTTAAACCCATTTGACTTTATTCCTCCTAGTAACTTTCTATCGTTGACTTATGTGTATTATTCTCTTCATGTTTTCTCTTTTTAAATTTAGTCGGGTCTTATGTTTTCTGTCTATATGCAGAAAATTTTACGCAGGGAGTTCAACTATTTATTTATTTATTTATTTATACATGCATTGCATTTTATCTTTATTTTAATTGTCTGACTGCCGGAGGTCTTCCACGGAAGTTGCTCTCAACCTGGCGTTGGGAGCAACGTACTACCCTACCTCCCCTACCCCATTACATATTGGGAATAGGGTTTTGTTGTTGTTGTTTGTATTAAAATCAACAATCAAATTTATCACACTATTCTGATTGATCGGAAATGCAAGCGGGCCTTTAAGCCCATTTATATATGTAAAATGCAAATACTAGTACATACTAGAGATCTTTCACACTGAACCACATAATATCCAAGACTTCACTGAAGGAAACAACACATCAAGGAACACCAGTCTTATTTTCATACTATATCTTAAGATGTCAGCAATTTCATCAGTTCTGAGCCTGCAATGAGATTTTAATACAGTAGTTAGCAACATTTTGCAGTAGCAACCGATGAAAATACTAGTAATCTTAAGGGCGTCAAAGGTACCAAGAAGCGCTGCTTGTAAAATTCGCTAAATGCTTTGGATCAGTTATCTTCGTCTGTTTATACGCATCAATCTTGTTCAGCTCCTAGATCGTCAAAAACAAAAATTAAGAAAGAAACGTTGCTGAAGCATATATCAGATTAGTACTAAGCCTATCGATCTGAATGTTTCGAGATAGGACCATGATTGTGCAACTGATGCAGTTGTGATTGGAAGATAAGAAGAAAGAAAATGGCATGTATTCGTCATGAACAATAACTTAAGCAAAACAATCATTAATTCAAAAATCGAACAGTACGTTAACATTGAAAATGTCTGCATGTCTTCAGCAGTTAACTGAATGTGTAGGCCGTTTTTATTTTGAATTTCTAGACTGGCTACAAAACAAGTTTACACCAAAACTAGGAGCAACTCTTTCAAAAAATTATGCATATGCATGCATGTAGTTTTTAGATTATACCTCAATCCATGCTGCCAGTTTAGGCCGGCCAGAAGTTATGTCATACTTGAACACCTCGGATAAGAAGATCTGGAATCTTTCGACAAAAGGAATGTAGGCAATATCAGCCTGAAAATGACAAAATTTTGTTCATGTATCTTAACAGAAAAACTCAAATGATACGTAATGGTATAGCCTTGGTGTGAGGAAATGATCCTTCTAATATTATGAAAAAAATCTAGTATCATACATACGCATATTAGACACTCACTCCTTAGTTCATGGAACATACATTATAATAGTTACCAACTATAGATGTTTTCTGAGAGATATTAATTAAATTAACCTTTTACTGTTGTAAAGCGTTCAAACTTGACTAAGAAACAACGAGTTACGACAGCAGACCGCAGCACTAGGGAAAGCCAACTTACCAGAATAAAGTCCTGACCAAGGAGGAAAGGGCCATCATATTTTTTAAGAGCATCTTCTAAGTAATCAAAAGCAGCACCTGAAGCAAGTCCGAAGTTTCAGTTAGTTCTTATTGAATTATATATAAATACACGATGAAACTGACAAAATAGTAGCATCTTTCAGACTAACCAGCTTCTTTTGACGGGTCTCCTTTAAATGAAGTAAAAATCGTTCCAACAAATTTGTCAACATATGACAACAACTCCTCCAAGAACTTATTCTTCTCTGGATCCTAAGACATTCTCAAAAGATCACTATGGTTAATATAGGTGGAAAGGAACCTTCATCGAAAGCAGTAAACAATTCAGCCGATCGTACATTAGGCGAAAGAGAAGGTCCTTCAAAGTTGCTATCAACATATTTAATCAGATCAAGACTCTCCCCAATGACTTTGCCATTATGTTCCAAGGATGGCACCTGAAGATGAAATTTGTTACATAGTAAATAATCAGGGGGAAAAGGGTTTATAAAGCTCAAACAATGGTGATCCCAAAGTGATTGGAAATTCATGCAAATTTATAAAATAAAACAAGTCAAAGCACTAAAACGTTCCAATAAGTTGACAAATTAATGAGCTCAGGTTAACATGAACCTTAAAGCACACATGATTTTTTTATTGACAAAATTCCCCATGGACAAAATCAAATAGATCTACCCAGGGATGGACCCAAGAGGCTAAGTGCGGTCGAACTCTCAAATTCTTATATAATTTATGTATTTCTTTGTATTTTCCATTGATATCTATTTTCGCCCTTAACATAAAATCCTGAGTCCGTCCTGAATCAACCATAACCAGAACAATGTTCATTATTGATAAAGACTATCATATGCCTTGTCTCACCTTGTTTTCAGGGTAAACTTTTTCCTTGTACCAAGCAGTCTATTAGGAAGGTCCAAAGGACCAATTTAATCTTGTCTTGCAATCCCTGCAACCAAAAATTATTCACATTAAAGAGTTGGAAAAAATAATAACAATTACATGCACTAAGGCTTTTAAAAAAACCGAAACAAAATCAAGTAAACAACCTTATAATTCCTGGTGATCCAAACACGCTGTGCGAAAGGGCAAGTATAAGAAGTATACAACCTTTAAAAGACGGGAAAAAAGAGATCAAATTCGGCAATAAACACAAGCAATTGCAAAAAAGTATAACATAAAAGATCAATGAAAGAAAACCCAGAAAAGATAGAGTGAAACCTGGTAGTTCCATCGAAGAGCAGGGGTTGCTCAGCAGTGGCGCCCAATGGAGGAGGCAAGGACTCAACAGTTCTAAAATTACAAAACAATGACAAAATACATGATTTTTAGAGAAACCCAGAGCCTGAATATAGAAAATTGAGAAGATAATACAAGATTCTTACTCGGTGCCATTGCTATTAAGGGTAATTCTGGAGAATTCAGCTTCCAAAGGTTGGCTTTATTCTTGGGAACACTTTGAATTTGGATCACAATTGATTCCACATGCAAATGAAAATGGAAGTGCTTTCGTTTATATAGGGAATGCAGCATATAGTGAGAGTCAGCAGTGACGAAATTGTGTTTAGGTAGGAGGAAGATCCAGAGGAGCTGTTTCGTTAAGAAAAAGCTAATGGGAATTTTCTTCTTCTTTTGAGATAAATCTTTTTAAAAAAACTAGTGGTGATAAAATTCTACCGAATTTAAAAATTTATTTCTTTTTCAATCTTAAATTATTTAAGTTATTTAAATTAATTGAATTATTAAGTCAATTTTTGAATCTGGATCAAATTAAAATTAAAAAAAATCACTAAAGTTTAACTGAATATTTTGATAATTTTATAATTTAATTATTGATTTTTATATTTTTTTTCATTTTAGACTGATTTGAATTAAAATCGAGTTATAAATTAAAATTTTCGAGTTAACCAAATTTAACATTTATATTTTCATCATTGCATGGAAAAATCCTATATAAATTTACTTTTATATCATTCTTCCCACATAAATTAAGCAGTGTTTCATTTGTCATTTCATGAGCCATGAAAGATTTCGAATTGAAGATGGAAAATGCTGGAAGTAGTCGGCAACGCTGGCCTTTTTGAAAATTTGGCACAAGCCGCATAAACATTTAGACATATTATTTTTTTAAGAGGAAGGAAGTATATTTAAATGATAAAAGCATCGAGAAATATATAATATTAATATTTGGCTATAAAATAAATTATAAAGGAATAAATGGGTGACTAAATAGGTATCTTACATTTTAAGTTCAATGAGTCAAACGAATCTATGAAAAGATTTATAATGTACATTCTTACACGTCCTTATGACGAATAATATACATGCACTAGAATGAACCTTTACTCTTAATAAATGTTTAATGTACTATTTTTTAGAATAAATTTATTAAATTGAATTAAACTATGATTAAATTGATAAGATATGTAAATATTAAGACTAATGTAGTTATACTATTTTTTTAACAGTCACATCATCTTGTTGTAGAGGCCTAGGTGTGTTGGGGAAAACACGGTTGATGTGATTTAATTGATAAAATTAAAAGATTAGTTTAAATAAAAAATAATTAAATGGTCATAAATATAATTTATCTAAATTATTTTCTTTAGCCTTTTTGTTACGGTATTTGTACATAGGAAAAAAGGGTAAAAATTGCAATTTCAGTTAACAGAATCAACGACCATCCTTATTTCTTTCGAATCATACGAATTACACCCAAAGTTTGTTAATCATCATAGAAAAGGGGAAACTTATAGCTGTTAAGGAATCCGAAAATTTCTCCAATCTCTCGAACTAAGAGGTAATTCAGCTTTCAAATTCCTACATTTTCTCTTTTACTTTGAAAATTCCGGTTTGTTTAGATTTCTACTGTTTTTCTGCTATCAGAATTTGAACAAAGAACTAATTCTAAACAAACAAATGTAACTTGTTTCGCGGTATAATCATTCTTCTTTCAAGATCTTAAGAAATTCCCTTTGAATGGGTTTTAATGCAGTTTCCTTTTGGTTGATTTTCGAGAATTTTAAAGCTTTAGTAACAAAAAAGTAGTGGCGGGAGAGACATTTTCTTTGTGAAATGTGGAATGGTTTAACGTAAATAAAAAAAAACTATGGACAGTTATATAATTGCAGGTTTTTGTCAAGTATGTTATTGTCCTTATTGAGCAGGCGCTTTTTGGAGGCTGATTCCAGCAAGTTCATTTTTTTATCCCCTGTTCATATTCATTTTAAGCATTTTTTAATATTGATAACTTTATAGATCTTATCGTTTTGGATCTAACATCTAGGGATTCTGAGGTTGAACTTGGTTCTAGTCAGGTTGATAGTGTCGTGATTTCCTTTTCCGAATTGTTCTTTGTCCTTGGGTTGAATGTGTGCTCCTGGTTTAATTTGCTTTCGAATATGTGCATAATAATGTGTTTAGGGACACCTATGGATTCACTGTGAGACCTCAAACATACAAACATATCGAGAGTACGTTAATATCTACAAGGTACAAATTTCCATCGAGTTCAATTGTATCAGCTACCTGCATTTAAAGAAATATATATATATATATATTGTCAGTTTGGTTATTGATATAGTAATTCATTAGCCAGGAAGAGGAAGAGGAAAGATTAGAGAAATGGAGGATCTTCCTCGAACTTCATGCAAAACATACTGAACCATGCCCATTTAAAGAAATATATATATATATATTGTCAGTTTGGGTTATTTATATAGTAATTCATTATGCCAGGAAGAGGAAGAGGAAAGTTAGAGAAATGGAGGATCTTCCTCGAACTTCATGCAAAACATACTGAACCATGCCCTTCCGAAGAGGAAGATGGTAAAACCTGCTAGGTGTGGTGAAAAATGGGGGTCTTCTTCAGGAAGAAAATAAAGAGATCTTACCTGCGGAAGCTCGTGAGAGAAATGAAGAGGTTCTATTGAGGCAAACGAAGAGACTACTTCTAAGAGCAACACGAGGTGATATTGCAGACTGAAGCTACACAATTTAATAAAGATGTTGCTTCGGAGGAGGAATGTAAGGAGATGCTGCAAAGTGAAGCAATTGAAGTGAAAGAGGAGGTTGATTCTTCAGGAATAAGTAAAGATACTTCAGAGACTGAAGCCATCGAGATAAAGAAGAGGGTGCTTCAGAGAGGAGCAAGGAAGGAGATGTTCCAGTGTGAAGCATGATTCTGCTAATTCAATAGAAAGTGAAAGAAAAAGCCTTATACTGCTGGTTCATTGGAAAGTGAAACAGGAAAGCGAAGTTTTGTTTCAATGGAGAATGCAAGAGAAAGGAGGTGCAGCTTACAGAAGAAACAAAGACACATAAGGTCCCAGATGGGCTAAGACCAGACCAGCCCTTTGTGACATTGAGAATTTGATGAGTTCAAAGGTTCAGAGAAAGAATATGAAAAACAGGAATATGAATGGAACCAGATGCCATCTTCCATCAAGAAAGAGGGAAGACCTTCAGAAGGAGAATCTCAGGATAAGTTTAAGGAAAGGTATGTGTTAATGAGATCTCAGCTAGCGAAGGAAGTATTGCAGACAATGGGGCTTATGACGAATCTTTTTTTCCTTGGAAAGAGGAGCTGCAGAGCCTTGTTCATGGAGGAGTGCCAAAGGAGCTAAGAGGGGAGGTGAGGTTGAAATTAATTTGTTTGTTACAATCTTCATATTCATTTGTTGAAAAATGAATTGTCTTATAATACGATCATTGCAGGTATGGCAAGCCTTTGTAGGCGTTAAGGCCCGACGAGTGGAGAGATATTACGACGACTTGCTAGCTAAAGAAAACCAAGATGCTGATCAGAATAGTAACTCATCCGGTGTGTTTGCAAAATGGAGAAATCAGATTGAGAAGGTCATTAGATGCATGTGCCTTGGAATTTATTGTTCAATCTTTTCAATTCCTAGGTGCTACATCTTTTTCTTTGAAATGTTTTCACATTTCTCCCAAGGCTAAGTTGTCTGATTATTTTTCAGGATATACCGCGTACTTTTCCAGGTCATCCAGCTCTGAATGATCATGGCAGGGATTCCTTGAGGCGTTTACTTTTAGCATATGCTCGGCATAATCCATCTGTTGGATATTGTCAGGTAATTGATGAATAAAGTTCTTTTTTAAAAATAAAAAAAATTGGCACTTGAGGCTGTTAAAATTGAAGTGATTTGTCAATTTAAGTGTTTTACATTGAAGTGATTGGAAAGTTTTAATGTCTATTATATGTTGGGAAGTACAATTAGTTGGGGAATAATAAATGGTGGTGTTTTGATAATTTCATATCCAAAGACACTTTTCAAAAGCCAAAACTCTTTTTTTCAGCTGTGTGTTTGGGAAAGCTGATTTGAAAAGCAATTTTAATCCTAGAAACACCGTTCTTCATTGCTAAGGTGCCTGTAAGCTCAGAAAAAATAGAGAATAATTTTCTTGTATTTTTTACATCAATTGATATAGGTAGTAATTAAGTATTCTATTTTAGTTAGTCTTCTAATACCTATTATTTAGCCATAATAAAATAGATCTCCTCCTCAAGTTGTTCTATGCCAGCTTATTACATAGATAAAACAATCCGGACTCTGTTAAGAGCCTTGTGAATATCTCCTAATGTTCTTCGATTTTCACATAAAGTAATCAAAACCTATTGGATCTTTTCACGAATGAAATGACAATCAACTTCAATATGCTTTGTTCGTTCATGAAAGGACGAATTGGAAGCGATGTGAAGTGAAGCTTGATTATCAGACCATAAATTTGCAAGAATTGAAACCTTAATTCCTACTTCATTGAGGAGTTGATATATCCCACAACACATAGATTCGTAGCTTGTATTCAACTTTCGACTTGATCGTGAGATTACATTTTGTTTCTTACTCTTCCACAAAACTAAGTTTTATCAAACAAAAACATAATATCTTGAAGCAGATCTCTTGACTTCCTTACCTACTGCATGGTTTGACACCCAACTTTCCTGTATGATCAACACACTCGCTAGATAAGTAATACCAGATCATGTAACAATAAGATAATTCAACTTTTCAACAAGTCTTTTATACCTCTCAGGATCTTCAAGTATTTCACCTCCTTTGATTAATGATAAATAGGGAACATTGGAGTACTGTATGGTTTGACACCTAACTTTCCCGATTCAAACATATTTCCTTTAAGATAGGAAGATTTTTTTCTTACTCCTGCTAACTTTAGCTCACAAAAAAGATATTTAACATCCTCAAGCATTTGGTATGAAATTGAGTACGGAGAGAGGACTTTAGAGATGAAATTCTTCTAAAATCGCTACCAGTAATTACAATATCATCCACATATATAACCAACACAATAATTTCTCCATCAGACAGCTTATAGAGAACATAATAATCTGAATTACTCTTTTGCATCCCAAACTTCTCAATAACATGACCAAACTTCCCAAACCAAGCTTTAGGACTATGTTTCCAGCCATATAAGGATTTTCTCAGACAAAATACTTTCCTATTGTAACCCCTTTACCCGATCTCAAAGGATTGGGTCGGATCCAAGGAATCCATATGTAAATTGACGCTCAAGAAACCAACTTCGAATCAAATACTCAAATCCGATATTTTAATTAAAGAAATAAATTGATAGTCCGAAAACATAATATATATATATCCGAGGTAAAATCTCTTTAATTATAAATAATAAATATTCAAAACATCAGGTAAAATTCTCAAAATTTAAATGTAATGTCCAAGATCAATAATTACATAATATTTCTGATAAATCCCCAAATCAATAACACAAATATAAACAATCAATAATAATAAATTCGAATAAAAATTTCATACCATGAATAATGAAGGGTTATGAGAAACGATGAAAATTCTCCAAGTACTAGTCACCTAAACCGAGAATCTGAAAGAGAAACTAGAAGGGTGTAAACTATTAAGCTTAGTGTGTCTCTAAAATGTGTCACAAATTATACATCACAAAGCAAAATACAATCCGATTCAATAAAATATTCATAATCCGATTAAATATGCAATGAATGTGCACCCAAACACCTTACACCATCCGAAGAGTAGGTTTCCCAGAACCACTCTAACTACGAACACCATCCGAAGTGGAGTCCGCCACAAAAGCAAAGACCACTGAATCCAAAGTGAAATTCATCCCGTCAAGTGAAAAACGATGAACTTCCTCTATCAATCGAAACCCAGTATGACATGACATTATAAGATACATACATAAATTCCAATCCAATCTGAATGTAAAAATATTTACATAATTTCTGAATAAATAGCAGATAATCCGAATTCAACATAATATCCTGATTAAATATTTCCGAATGCAACATATCAATATAATCAAGTATTTCTGAATTCTTAATATTTTCTGAAAGCAACATATCAACATTATCTCATGGCATTTTCTGAATGGCATTGATTTCAACCAAAGTCACATGACAGACAAATTAACAAATCAATATTTCATGTCAACATCCAAGTAATCATAACACCGGACAAAGACACATCTCGACAAAAGCTAACGACAATAATGACACCATGGTCAGCTCTTGTAGTGGGTCGACTCGAATCAGCACCTACGAATTAATTTAATAAACAATTTAATATTCTAAAATAACTAACAAAACTAACGAATTAAAATAACAACCAACACTCACGGTCGACTCGAGAGTAACACGAGTCGATTCTAAATTAGCGGGTAACTGCGGGGAGGAGGTAATTCAGTTTCCAATTTGACTTTTCCTGCAAAAATCACAGTATTCGATTTTGAGTCACCACATCCAAATTTTCAGTTTAAGAATAATTTATCGATGATAACGAAATAATTTTTCAGTTCGAATCAAAATTTGGCAGCGGATTTTGGTTCGAATATAGGGGCTGTCAGGAAAATGACACTGCCGGCGACGAAAACACACCGGAAGCAGACCCTAAGGCCGGCGAGTGGCCTTAAACGGCCGGCAAGGGAACAAAGGGGGGCAGAACGCTATATTGCCGATTATGGCGCCATTTGGACCGAATCCGGCCGCTAGGCCTTCCCCACACCATTTCCGGCCACACAATGGCCACGAACGGCCAAAACGCAGCCTAACAACGGCTGTTTACGAGCCAACGCTCGTTGTTTTGCACTTAGGGACGGGCATGAGACCCGAATTCAATAGGTATCGACCCGACCCAACTCGATTGGGTCTGGTTTTTTAAAAATT